ACTTCCATAGTGATACTGCCTCGGAAACCCAAGGAGGGGTCGCTATGAGTCGGGGCCGACTCCACGGCACATAACAACAACAACAACATATATATATATATTTAATAGATTTCTTCTAAAATTTGGAATAAAATTAAGAGAAATAGTGTAATTAAATTGCAAATGCAGCACAAGAAAAAATATGCCAAATTTTTACTTGACTACACATTTCACATTTTCAGATAACATTAAATAACTTTTTAATATCAATTTGAATATATTGCATTTAAATATTTAGATTATTTATAGACCGTCTTCAAGCAACATAATTAATTCCTTCTCTTCATCAAAAATCTGTAATAAATTATTCTTTCAGCTAAGATTTTGCCCTAGCATGACAAAACTGTATTTACAATTTGAAAAACAAATGTCTCTCTTATTCATGCTTATTTTTAAGAACCTCAAAACAATCATCTTTTCTGAATAATAACTTTCAAAGAGGCATAGAACACTCTTCATTCTGACAATGCTGTCTGTAAGAGAAGGATAGAATTCATGGTAAACTATCTTATTACATACTTTTTCCCTAGAACATCCTAAGTGTACCCTCTTGTGTTTAATTTCAAATATTTGAAAGGATTTAGTAATAAGAAATCAAAAGGGAATTTAATCTTAAATTCATAAAACATCATCTTCCCCATTACCATCATCATGGGAATAGTTAGAAATCACGTATTATGCCACTTCTTTAATATAATATTCTAAAGAAACATTGTTTCTGGGAGAGAAATAATGGACAGGAGGCAGGTGTGATGATGAATTACATAAAACAATGTAATAATCCTTGGGCTTCGGAGGCGGTATCTCTATGGAAGTAGATTGCCCAATCTTCCTTCTGAGGAGTAGCTGGTGGATTTGAATCTCCAACCTTCTGGTTAGCAGTCAGATGCCTTAGGAACTATGCCACCAGAGCTCCCATGGTTATATATACCAAAACCAAACTCACTGCCGTCGAGTCGGATCCAACTCACAGCAACCCCTCCTTGGGTTTCTGAAACAGTATCACTGAGGAAGTAGATTGCCCAACCTACCTTCCGTGGAGTGGCTGGTGGGTTTGAACCACCAGCCTTCTGGTTAGCAGTCAAGTGCCTTAGGCACTATGCCACCAGAGCTCCTGTGGTTATATCCATGGCTACCTAAAACACATCAAAGAAATGACAGGAGTAAAGCTGGTCCATTACCATATCCTGTGTTCCATCTTGTTCTATGACATGCAGAGCTGATGGACATTTGAAACTCCATCTAAAGTTGACAGCACATCTATTGTCCAATGTCAAACCCGTGAGATCAACATGAAAAATTATTATTTACAGTGACATCCTCAGACTGAGGAATGTAGTCTACATTGGAACTATATAAAATGTATTTCAGCAAATGAGATCAAGAAATGAAAATAAAAATTAAATGACAGCTAATGCAATAATGAAAATTACAACTTCGGTTAAATATTTCTTTTGTTATTCCTTACAGAGATGCTTATGAGTACAATTGAAAATAAATTATCAAACAATTGGATGTGAAATTTACATCTGTATGATGATGTAAGACTTGATCTACATGTCTTTAAATTCTCTTTAGAAGGGTAAGCATGGCATAGTATTAATCTGCAACATACTGAATATCTCTTTCTAGAGTACAAAAATATATCCTTATCCACTGAAAATAATTGGCCAAGCCCCTCAAATACATTAAAGCACTAAAGAAATTTCTATTATTTTACCAAGCAGTGGTATTAGCCATATTAGCAATATGGAGAGAGTGGAGGTACCCTGTGAAGGAGGTACAGGAAAATAGACAATGGCATTGTCCTTTAGGCTTGTGAGAATGACGTCCATCAGTGCCAACACCATAGTTACTGTGTGAGTAGCCAGTACATTAAAGACACACTAACATAGATCACACACAGCGTTATCCAGTTTATCCTTGTGATTGGTGGCCTGCAGTTACCTGTCACGTGGAGGAAGACATTGGAAGAGAGAGTGCCACTAGAGTTTTGGGCCCGAGCAACATAGAGGCCTGCATCTGCCTTGCATACCTTCGGAATGAACACTGAATGGTTTGTCTCCTCGTGTAAAACCTGTAAGTGACCATCTGCAGACAATTCCTGGCCCTTCTTGTACCTGAAGTAGAGAGTCAGTATTTATAGTCAGGTCACTGTTTATTGACATCATTTCCAAGTTCTACAGTCATTGCAAATAGGCCCATTGCCACTGTAATAAACAAAACAAAAAGCAACCCATGGTCATCAAGTCAATTCTGACTCATAGTACCCCTATAGGACAGAGTAGAACTGGTCCATAGTGCTTCCATGGCTGTAAATCTTTACAGAAGCAGACTTTGACATCTTTCTCTTTTGGAGCAGCTGATGGGTTCAAATCACTGAACTTCTGGTTAGCAGTGAGTGCTCAACCACTGTATCACCAGGGCTTCTGCCAATGTAACACTTTCTAGTATTAGCAGGAACTTTGCAGCTATACCAAATTCAAATATGGCTGTTTATCTTTCAGGCTGAGACCAAAAACTGGTAGCCAGAGAAATGTTTTGTTTGGCTCAGACTAGGTATTTAAAACACTTAAGTTTTGTACAACATTTGACAATTGGAATATTGCTTATGAAAATTCAGATATACAGCTTCTCTGGAGAAACCATACCATCTGGCCACACTGGGCCACCATTCCCTCACAGCAACGATTACCTAGAGTGGGAAATAGCACACTCATGTTTGGCCTGCTTCATTCTGACTGTTCTATGAACAGCAGCTTGTGACTTCTTGGAATCTGTGCTGAAGTGAGACTCATCTGCCCTGTCACATTCATGCCAAAAGACCCACTGAAGAATACAAATGTACTGTTTTAGATAAGGGTACTTATACATAATTTTCTGGTGAAAAGAGTTCATTAAATTTTATGAATTAATTTCATTAGAAAAAGAAAATGATTTCTAATTATAAAAGGCATCTGTACAATTGGATTATAACCATTAAACAACATGTTTCCCAAAGTTTCCTGTGAAAATGAACACTTAACTGTTTCTTTTTATAAAACAACTATATTACTTATTTGTATATTCCAGATTTTTGTTTATTTATTTATACCCTATGTTTTTCCAGATAAAAAGCAACAACAAACATGAATCATTTTCTTCTCCTCTTACTTAAGGAGTAATTTTGCCTTTGTCTGAGTATCCTAAGAATGTATGATTCCCTGATAGCTTATCAGTTATTAATTGAGCAAAATTATTGGGAATCTGTTGGAAAAATATTTTTTCTCAATGTTGCAACAGTCTTAGTTCTTCAATACACACTAAGTAAATTATTTATTGTATGGCCAAAGAAGGAAAACCTCAGACAACATTTTTCTTTGGGGTGAATTTATATTTAATAATGAATTAAATACCTTTTATATTCATAAATATGAAATTTCAGATTTGTAAAAAACATGCAATTGTAAAAACCACAAAATAAAACAAAAAGCATAAGTAGCTGCACTATCAGGACAAGCGTAGTTTCTTTTACTAATCTGAGAAGCCCAAGTTTTATCATAAGCACTTTAGATAACTAGTACATACTGCAAGTACCATCAATAGGCACATACAATCACTGAAACTTAATTTTTGTCTATTGAAATATTACCAAACAAAAACTCACTGGCGTTGAGCCGGATGCGACTCATAGTGACCCTTCCTTGGGTTTCTGAGCCGTTATCTCTACAGAAGTAGATTGCCCAATCTTCCTTTCAAGGAGTGGCTGGTGGGTTTGAACTGCCAGCCTTCTGGTTAGCAGTCAAATGCCTTAGGCATTGAAATATTATGATAAATGAAAGCTATTTTACTTATATTCATTTATAAATATAAACTTATTCTCATACATTTGTCACTTTGTCCTCAAATAAATTTAGTTAAGGTTGAAATTTTTCTAAATGTTTAAAGCAATCCACATCTTGAGAAAGTTAGGACAGCTTCTATTGTTATCAACTTTAAGTGATTCAAACTTGTATTCTGCAGTTTTACTTTTTCTAAAACAAATAGGCTAAATAAAAAGAAATCTCCGGAGTGAAATATTGTTCACAGCTCAGTTATTGCAGCACCTTTCAAAATGAGTTTATTACCTGTCACTTGGGGCAACTGTGAAAGATTTTTATTCCACCTTTCACACTGAAGAAACTTATAAAAAGTAATCTTAGTAAAACAACTAAATATTACAAAGGTGGCATGTATGACACTGCTGGGAAAAAGAGAAAAGATGAACAAATGATAGGAAAAGGAGATCCCAAATTCTAGTGTTTTTTCATTGAATAAGGGATGTTAAACCAAGAACATTTCATGGTTACGCAGAAATAGACAATAGGAAAGAATTTCAATGTCCGATCTTTAAAAACATGGAATGTTAAACTGGGGAAAGAAAAAAATAAAGCTTAACTCCTTTGTAGTGCTTTCTGAATTTGTTAAATTATTATTTTATACGGTTACTTTTTTCCTTAAGCACAATAGCCATGCTGCTTCTAAAATGACAGTTGGGGCTGATGTGAGATTGAATCATGCAGAATCCCAGTGTGGTAGAATATTAATCAGCTAGCCCTAAACTTCTAAATTAGTGCACACAGATTTCCTCAGTGATTCAGTTTCTCTGCTCATGGTTTATCGTTATAGGCTACCCACCATGTCAGTATTGGTTCTGGAAATCCTGTTACTTCAACTTCCAAAGTCACTGGAGAACCTTCCATGACAGTGACATTAGACAGGAGCCTGGAGAAATTAGGTGCCTGGCCAGCTAGGCTGACAACTCTGTTGTTTGCTGATGTACTTTTAATCTCTTCTCGGGGAACCACTGGCCTTGGATAGCCCCGGCTGGTGTCTGATTGAAACCTGAGGCCAGAGGAGGCCTCAGGGGAAGCATGCAGCCTGCCTTGGGTTTTAGTGACCTTATTACCAGCATGCATTTTCTCCTGTGTCCCTATCAAGCTTCCCTGAGGCTGAGGGTGCTGCTGTAAAGCTCTCTCATGCACTTCATTCGGCATGCTCTCTGGATGTTTAGCACTGATTCTGCGGAAGGCAATGCTCTTTTCCAGAAATGCCTGGGAGGTTAACGGGGCCTCAACTTTGAGTTGGGAGTAAGGTCTCTCAAAATGACTTGAAGGTGTTTCTCTCTTATCAGGGCACACGTCAGCAAAAGCCACAGGTGGTGGGAGAACAGACTCCTGGGCTTGCCCTCGACTACTGGCCTCAGTCTGCGTCCTGAAGCTGCTTAGGTGAAGGCTGAAGGAAGAGGAGCGAGGGGGCTCCTCCAGCTCCATGTCAGATGGTGCCAGGAGAGATTCAGGGCTTCCTGGGAGTGGAGGCAAGGAGATGTCATCAGGTGAGACACACTCATATTCTTCTCCTGAAAGCATGTCTTCAGACAGGAGCAGGCCCTGGATGCTACCCTCTTTGGCAGAGGCATACTGCTTCAGGTCCTGTGGAAGCTGTTCATTCCCTGCTCCTTTAATGGCCGAAATATCTGCCACTTGTACCTGTCCCTTCAAAAGAGAAAAAGCAAAGCTTCAAATCAGTCATTCATTTTTCTTTTCCTAGGTCTCAATGAGAATGAAACTCAGCTTCAGACAAACAACTTGAGGAAGCCTACAGAGAGTTGAAGCTTAGGGCCCTGGCACAAGGATCATGGAATTGGAAACCATTTATCTGTCTTACCTGGGTACAGTTCCGTCTACAACTAAGGAATCATTAAACTGACCTCAACTCTCTGTGAGTGAGATATGATAAGACTTTGCAAAATAGAACAGAGAAAGACCTACTTTTCACCTATAAAGAAAAGATTCCACTGGGTCATTGTCTTTCAAACCGTTATCTTAGGAGTCCTCTTCAACCAGCAAACTCTGCTTTGGGCTGTTTTATTTGGCTACACTTATACTGTCTATGTGAACACAGATTCCTAAGTGCCAGAAACCTCCTTGTTAGGATGCTCCCAAAATAACCACTCTGCTCTCTCAAAAAAAGCCATTCATACTGACTGGTTATATTTTCTTAAAACCTTTAAGTTCTATTCTTACTTTCAAAAAATATTTATTGAGCATCTACCACGCTAGGGACTATAGAGATACATGATGAGTAAAAAGATGCAGTCTTTGTCCTCACTGAAATGATAGAATCAGGGGGGAAGTAGACAATTAATTAAACAATCATGTGTTATGTCTTTCTCAAGAGAATACACCAAGGTACAATGGAGGAATACTTGCCATTTATTTTTCTGTCCCATTTGAAATACAAGAAGCTCTGGTGGTCTAAGGCATTTGACTGCTAAACAGAAGGTTGGTGGTTCAAATCTACCAGCTGCTCCATGGAAGGGAGATGGGGCAATCTACTTCCGTAAAGATTTACTGCCTTGGAAACCCAATAGTCACAATGAGTTGGAATTGACTTGACGACAGTGAGTAAGTGAAATGTGGTCATGCTAAGAGCCATGTAGTCCATCGCTTCTCACTTACGCCTCAGTACTCCCACTCCCACTCAGTATTCTTACTCCCACTCCTCCTCAGTCTTCCTCCCCATTAATCCATGACACTCTCTACATTAAGACCCTCAAATAAATATTCTGGCATGGAATCAAAAGAACACTACAGCTGAAAGGGATCTATCTCATCTATCCCAACCTGCTTGGTTAATATTTCCTCTTCTCTTTGCTCTTTGGGGACCTTTTGACTTATTTGGTGTGTTGGATTGGGTTCTCTAGAGAAACACAAAAACCAGCAAAGTATATATATA